GATCACACTCTCAACTCTGCAACCCAGTCCGAGTCTCTCTGCTTCTAGTGATGTCTCAGGGCTCTCCTTCCCTGTAGTGCAGAATCCCTTTGTGGAGGGGGATCCAGAATACAATTTTTCTTCTTTCCTTTAAAGCCATAATTATTGAGGCATAATTTACACGTGGTAAAATTCATCCTTTTTAGTGTATGGTTCTATGGGTTTTGACAAAAGCATACAGTTGTATAGCCACCAACATAATCAATTTATAGAAGAGCTCCAACACCCCCTAGAATTTTCTTGTGTCTGTTTGGAGTCTACCCCTCCACCAACCTCAGCCCTTGGCAACTGCTGATCTAATACCTGTCCTTCCAGGTTTGCCTTTCCCAAAATGGCACACAAGTAGAACCATACAGTATGTAGCCTTTAAAACAAAAAATCTTTTTACTTTGGAATACTTTTAGATTGATGGAAAAGTTGCAAAAATAGTACAAATTTCCTTACCCAGCTTCCCCTAATGTTAACATCTTACGTAGCTATAGGACAGTTGTCAAAATAAAGAAACTAACATTGGTACAATACCATTAACTATAGATTTTATTTGGATTTCATCCATTTTTTCCACTAACGTTCTTTTTCTGTTCCAGGAGCCGGTCCCAGATCTCACATGGCATTTAGTTGTCATGGCTTCTTAATTTCCAACCCCATCTGTGGTAGTTTCTCAATCTTTCCTTGTTTTTCATGAGCTTGACACTGACCAGGGGATTGGGCAGGTATTCTATAGAATGTCTCTCAATTTGAGTTTGTTTGATATTTTTCTTATGACTAGACTGGGTTATGAATTTTGGGAAAGAATACTACAGAAGTGAAGTTCCCTTCTTATTATGTATCAAGGGGTACATGATAGTGACATAAATTATCACGTCGTTGCATGAATCAATAGTTTGTTCATGTTCACCACTGAATTAGTCTCATTGCATGCAGATAAGACAGTTTGTTTATCCATCCACTAGGCGAAGGCTATTTGGATTATTTCCAGTTTTTGAAGATTATAATAAAGCCACTACAAACATTCACATACAAGTTTTTGTGTGAATGAATTTTTTTTTTTCTCTAGAGTGAATTCTTAGGCATAGGATTGCTGGGTTGTGTGGTGTGTGTTTAACTTTCTCCGAAACTGCCAAACTACTTTCCAAAGTGACTGTTCCACATTGCTTTCCCAGCAACAATGTGTGACCACCGATCTCTCTGCATCTCAGGTTCTTTTGATCAGTGTTCTGGTTAGTGGCTCATCTTAAAGACACCTTAAAGATTGGCAAGTTTCAAGTGTGTCCCCTTTGTCTGGCAAAGAACCTACTTCATTTATGCTAGTCTCTGCACGGAATTTTGCCCGACTTTATGGAAAAATCAGGGGTAACTTATTCATCAGACTTTGTAGTCCCATCCTCCTACCTTCCTCAATTCCTATGATGTTTTGGAATGAGTTAATAAATGCTAGGGAGGAAAATGGGATTGGAGAGTCTTATGGAAGGTTGTAGGGAGAAGCCTCCCATTCCTACCTCAATATTATTTACTAAGTGAGTGACCTTCTGTGACTCTATTGGCCATACTTGTGTGCTGCAGTGTGTGAGCACAATATTAAGTCACTTAGTCCTTGTAATAACTCCATGAGGCAGGGAATGCTACTACCCCTATTATATCAATGAGAAAACAAAAGCTCACCTTGGGTTTACAGCTGGTGGAGCTTCAGCATGGCCACAGATTTGTCCCACTTCAGAACCCAAACTCTTAATACCTGAGCCTCTAGATCCAGCTGTGCCCAAAGTACGCACTTTTTAGTTACCTGAGCAAATAAATATGCCCCCACTTTTTTGTTTTTGTTTAAACGAATTTGAGTTGAATTAGGCTTCAGTAATGATGGATTCTTTGAACTCTCTGCTTTCCTCATCTATACATACCCTTCTTTCAGGGTTTCAGAATCCTAGTCATTTTTGATGATGATGATGATGATATGATGATGATGATGATGATGATGATGATAAGAAAAAGAAGTAGAAGCCTCATGAAAGACAAGATCTAATGCAGCATTGAAAAATATGTAATACTACTGCCACTACTCCCTGCCGCATATCCATCACAAATATCATTTACTTTTTAGAATCCTTCTCAATGCAGAATTCTTGGCAGCCATTGCCAATCACTTCAGCTTGGCTCCAAGCTAAAATCCATTTTCCAAGAAAGCTGAAGAGACCTCCATTACTGGACTGTGAGTGGTGTCAGTCAGTGCACTGGGGCGATGGTTTAAATCAAAGCAGAGGATTAACTGCCATGGCCTGTCTGGAGGACACTTAGTTGATTACAAAGACAGATGCAACTTTGATATACTGGCAACATCAGTAGTGTTAATAGTTAGCTCTGAGCCATTGCCAGGGTGGGCCCCTGGGGGTCTCTGCAGGCGTCTCTGAGAAAGCATGGAGTTCACTTAGCTGGCTCCTAGAGCTGAAGCACGGGCAGAAGCAGGGGAGGTCTGGCAGGTGCCATCTTTATCCCAATTGCTAGGCAGCCTCTCATGGCACCTCGGGGGCCTCAGGCCTGGCCCCACACCCAGTGGAAAGACCAGTCATAGCGTGATGGGTGAGCCCCGCCTACATGCCCACTGGCAACTCGGGGTACCCAGGACTGCCAACTGTGAGCAGATCCTGTCTTTCTGGGCACAAACCTCTGTCAAAAAGTGCTGGTTCTTTCTAAGTTAGTGCATTTCTAATTCTGAAGCTGACGGATGCTTTTCTCACTCTCCCAGAACTCAAAATCAACTTGACATTTCTAAAATTACATTTTGAAGGCAATGAATCTATAACGTGCACCAAAGCCTGTGCCAGCTGAGGGAAAAAAGTAAGAAAGGGGGAAATAGAAACGTTTCTGGCTCCCTCCCTCAAATTTGAATATTCTTTATATATCAACCGGGGTAGGGGGAAAAGGGGAGGGAGACTTGGAGGCTACCTAAAATGATGGGAAAGTTTTCAAGGAGCAGGTGCTCTCTAAATTTCCCTGGGGATTCATGCAATCATGGCTCAGATGGGCCTCACGACATAGGATGAAAATGAGGAAGAAGTGTGACTAGGGGTGAAAAGGGTGGGACACTTTTGCCGTCTTCATGCCAAAGGCAGCCCATCCACAGTGGCTGGGGAGGTACTCCGAGGTGGGCCCCCCAAAGAAGCCCCCTGGCCCGGCCAGCGCATAGGCTACTTAAAAGAGAATCAGGCAGCAGCTGCTTCTCCTTAAACAGGAAAGGTGGCCAAGGGGGCTTTGTGTGAGCCCGGATCAAAACGCATCTATCAAGAGGGATCAAGAGCCTGGCCAAGTGGATTACAGATGGAAAAGGGAATTGAATCTTTTTTTTTTTTTTTTAATGTAAAGAAAATTAAAAAAGGAAAAGGGAATTAAAATTTTTTTTTTTTTTTTTAATGTAAAGAAAATTCAGGGAGAAAATGCGTCCATGTGTAATTCTTTCCTTTTACTTGCTGCAAACCTGTTCAACTACCACCATTCTCCTCCCCTCTTCACTCCCAGATCGACTTTAAAATGCAGCCTGTATTTAAAGTGATCCATTCAACATGGCAGAGCCCCACACCCCCTCGTGCCACCCACCCTCTCCCCCACCAAGCTCCCTGGGCCTCCAGCCTGGAGTCAGCCCCTCCTTATTCATCTCCTTACTGGGGCTGCAAACAATTGCGACCCAGGATGAAACTATGAGTGTTTAATCCGCATTCCACACAGGGCAGCTCCATTCAGCAATCATTAATCCAGTGCTTACAAGGTGACTCTGGAGTGCCGATGACAGGGGACACAGAGAAGATTGGGGGAAACAGGGACCCTGTGCTTTGGGGTTGGAACACCTAGTGGTAGAGGCAGCTGCATGCAGCAAGGGCCTTAGGTGGCCAGGCAGAGCACCATGTGTGCGCTAATCAAGAGTCAGGAGACGAGCAGGAAGGGAATTGTCAAACCGATGAGGGGTTGTTCCTCAAAGGGAAACCACCGGCTATGCTTGGAGAAGTCCCTGTGGAGGAGGTGGATCTGAGGTGGCTCCTGGGGCTGGGTAGGGTTGTGAGGGCGGCTGAGGGTAAGGACTGGTCAGGAAGCGGGACATCCTGGGTGGAGCGGGCAAAATATGCACAGGCCCAGGGGCCAAAAGGGAGCCTAAGGGTTCAGCAAGCCCTCCTGTGTGTGTGAGGGAGAGTCACCGGATGGGGTCCTGGGGCTGTATCTTGATCTCCTCAAAGACCCCATGTACAGCCTGTGGTGGCCAGGAAGTGAGCAGAGCTACATAAGCCACATAACAGGCTGCATCCCCAGCCCCATTTCTCCCGTAGGCTTCTTCCCACCCAGGCTCCATCTCCTATCTCCTAGGCTGTCTTGGGAGGACAGTGGCTACTGTGGAGGCCCTTCCATGAGGGCGTACTACAGGCAGCTGGAGAAGCCCAACGTTCCTGTGTGTTTGGGACAGTGGCCTTGGAAGACCCTTTCAGAGCTGGTGACCGAGGCCATAGGAGTGTAGCAGAGGCCTCCCTGGCCCAGCTGAGTACACAGAACCATTTCCTGGCTGATCATCAATTCTACCCCGACTCAGGGCCACTGGCTCACTGAAAGGGCTGTACGTGGGCTTCTGTGGCCTGTCACTTAGCATGTCATTGGTGACAAGGGAGGGGAGGAAAGGTGCCAGCACGGGGGTCCCTAACACTGTCGACTATCTGAGCCACTTATGTTCTGACATTCAATACTTGCTCCCACCCCTGCTGGGGCCAACCAAAGTCCAGGTCCTCCTCCCTCAGCTGCTGTACCTGGTGCATGAGGTCATGTCAGCTTCCTGCAGGTGAAGCGGTCCCTCCTCCTCTGTCCCTCGCCAGCCCCCGCCTCCACAGCACCTTCCCACTGAGTTCCCACAACAGACTCATTTCTTGACTTTGCATGTCAAATATCTTTTCTGTTTAATTAAAAAAAAAAAAAAAAAGGTGATGTCACAAGGGGCTCCAGAAATACATGCTTTTGAATTCCAGCCATGGAGAGGACAAAAGGAGACACTGGTATCTGCAGATGTGGCTGCTTTCCATAGAAAGGTTCGTGCAGCGGAGACCCGCCGGCTCCTCCGCCCGTAAGAGAACACGGGGCCAGCAGGCAAGGGCCGCGGACAGTGTCTTTGGTTGGCTGGAGCTTCACCCAGAGCTCACTGGAAGGCGGCTGAGCAGGAAGAGTGAGTCTCCCTGCAGCCCCACTCTAGGGGAGTGTAAGAGGAGGCATCTAAGCTCTGTCAGCCTCCCGCTGCCTTCGAGGCTGTAGGACGCGTTATTTAAACCTAACGCAAAGTAGGCTTATGGTCTGAACATGGATCTCACAGTTGCCCAGTGACACATCAGCAGCCATGATGTGGAGGCTGGCAGGAACGTGGCCACACTGGACACAGCTCCTAGACAATCCTGTATTGTCAGGTCCATGTAGAGAATACACTAAAACCCTTTATACCAAATGAGAGTAAATAATTATACCAATATAAACAGGGCCTTTGACCCTTTTGATTTATTAAAATGGCACGTAAATATTAAAACGGCATACTGATAACGTCATACGTCTGTGAGCCCCCAGGTGTGTGGCTGAGGAATGGCACGTGGGCTCTCGCCCTGAGGCTGCAGACTCATGCATTGAGCAATTCATGTTCTTTATCGGTTTTCCCAACAGCATCAGGATTTGATAAAGGGTCAAGGTCAGCAAAGAGGCTGAACCAGGCAGTCAGGTCCGAGGCAGCCTTGGCAGGCTCTGGGGAGAGAAGAAGAAACATCAGTATATCCATCTTCCAAACACCCACCTCCGCCACGCTACCTGCAGGTGGGTCCAGGCTTATCTTGAAAGGAGAGGATGCTCAGACAAATCCCATTACACTCTGTCTCTAAAACTAGTTAGGGAATTCCATGTCTCCCTGTTGGTTGGCTGAGTATCTTTTCCAAACCACGGCCTAAAGCTCAGGGAAGACTGAGCTCCTGTGTTAAACCCCACTTGCACCCCTACCCTGGCAGGGGGCCACAGCCCACAGAGTTGCCTAAAACCTCAGACCCTGCCCCTTCCCCACAAGCAGGAGATATCAAAGTTATTTCAGAAATCAGACTGCATGGCTGGCAAGGTGCCTTCCAGTGTCTGCTGGAGGAATCTTTTCAAATCCCCTAGGTCAAGAGAAATCATATGGTGGCCACTTTGAGGCTTCAAAGCTACAGGCCCAGAGGCCGTTGGCACTTAGGCCTAGCTGCTCCTCTTCCCTCCGGGTCACTGCCTTCTTCAACCTTCTCCAGTCAGGCAGGAGAAGGGGGCCTTTGACATGCCTCCCCTTTCCCCACTGGGCTCTAAATTGTCCCCAGACCCCTTCAGCCTCATTGGAGTTCTGCCTTCAGATGCTCTTTTATGGAACCACCTGCCCTAACTTCCTGAATACCACAATTATAGAGCCAAATTATTTTCCAGATGAGGAGAACATTTTCAAAAGAGTACCTGATGCAAGTGATTTCTAAATAAGTTGGGGGCTCTTCTTTATATAAATCATTCCATATGAGAATCTAAGTTCATTGGCTTGGATGACCCACGCTTCGCTTTTTTTTTTCCTTCTCCAACAGGTGGGAGTATCAAAAGCACAAAGAAAATGTCTCTTTGACAGGTTATCCTTCTAGCTAAGAGCAGCTAGGAATGTGCTTGCCATCTGGCTAAAAGGAGTCTCAAAAAACATTGGCGGGGTAAAAAGTGGTTATATCAGAGTGACGGGAGAATACTGACGGGATTATGCCAGCATAAGCAGGGCCTTTGATCTTTTCATTAAAACGACACCTAAATGTTAAGGCACTGTACCAGTCATGTTATACTTCTGCTTCCTGTGTCTTTATTTGCAAAATCTCTGGTAGATATATTACTTTATAATGAGATAAATCAACACACCTACTATATTTTAGAGATAAAATGACCGTAAGCAAGGCTAGTTGGTGATACGTAAGTTATTACTGTGCAACATTAATTGAATTCCATGTGCAGTTAGCCCTTAAATACTTGGTTTATTTTGATGTGATAAACTGAGACTTGAGAGATCTCAATATAGTTTGGCTGGAGTGGGGAGGAGGACAACTAAAAAAAAGGGAGTAATCTTCATTAGTCATGTAGGAGGTCAAACAAGGAAATTACATGGGACAAGACTGATTTAGGAGGATTAGTCTATTCTTGATAGAAAATATCAAGCTATCATAAAAATATCTTTAGTGAAAATAGATTATGCACTCACTTCCCCTTCCTTCTAACCTCTGCAAAGGTCTTAGAAGGCCCTCAGAGAGGGGGCATGGCCCTGGTTCCTCCCGGAATGGTGCCCAAAGTGTGGTGCCCACACCAACAGCAGGGGCATCACCCGTGAGCTGGGAAGAAATGCAAGTTCGCAGGCCTGTACTTTAGGGCGACGCTCACATTCCCCAGGCCTCCATTCTTTGAGGGAAAACCAGGTGCACCTATTTGCACAACACCTAAAAGAATATCATGCTTTTTGATGATAATAGAAGAGCCATTTCTTTTAACTTCCTTTGGTCAACCCAGGGAACGTGGGTGATGACCAAAGGAAGAGAGAGAGAGCTACAAATAAGACAAGATCTTCGGTTGAACAGACGTCCTCCTCAGGGCCTTGTCTCAAAACAGAACAGATCTCAGGAGCCTGAAAGGCCTCTGTGGCGACTAAGAAACCTGTCTCTTTCTGAGGAGCTCTAATCAAATGCCTTCTCTGGTGGTGGCAATGGCATTTTCAGCTTAAGATAACAAACCTCAGTGGCCTTTCCTACCTTGCCATTTCCACCCAATCTTGGGGAGCACCCAGTCACTTGGAGACAGATATTTGCTTCTTCCTCATTAGATTTGATAAAGGGAATTATGAATTAGGACATTAGGCCAGAAAAAAAGTCAGAATATAATTCCTAGGATTATGTAAAACTCTCTACCCTGATAGCAGGTGCTCAAATGTAAAGAGAGACAGAAAAATTTGTATTAGGCCAGCGGAAAGGAAGGCGAGTGTCATTTCAGAGGGACAAAACACCGTTATTACCTTTCACTGCAGGGCCGCTGTCATTTGGACTGCTCGCCTTTGGTGCTGGCCATGGAGTAGGAGGAGGATTGACATTTCTCTCTGACCAGCCTAATGTTCAAAACCAGAGGTCGTTAGATCTAGGGAGGAGCAGTCCCACTGCCCCCCAGTTGATGGGCACAGACAAGGTGGCCTCCAAAGAAAGAGACAAGACCTTTCTTCTCCAGTTCCTCATACTGGGAACAGCTTTAGGGGAGAGTAGATATGTATAATCACGCCCAACTCAAAAGTATGGAGAACTAGAGAAATGATTGGATTTTGAAAAGCAAATGAGAAAATGCTGAGGTTAAAGCATCTTTGCCTTTAGCGTTATGCCCATTTTTCTTCTCAAGTAGCATCATTTCATGGTCACACCAAAGATCATCAATAGCATTCCAAGGAAACCAAGTGTCTTGTTTTCTGTCATAAATGGGAAAAGCTTAGAAAAGTGAACACCATTAAATGCAGCACTAAAACTAGCAAACTCCAAGTCTTCTCTGCTTCCGACATGATCCAATTCCTTTATTTTCTATACAGTTAATTTAAACTGGGAAGTTTCGTTAATAAAGTTAAGTAAATAGAGTCCAGTCCAAATACATAAGGGGAAAGAAAGCCTCCCACCACCTTGATGCCATTCCTTCACAATGGCATTTAGCTTACATATCCCAACATTCTGTAATGACCTCTGTGCTCTGCCTGCTCATAATGAGCAAAAGGCATTCAGCAGTCCTAGAACTTAACCATATGCTTTTTTGCACGTCTGCTTTAATTCTTTGTAAGTCCTGTCTTCTCAGTGAGGCAAGGAATTGTTTCTTCAATGTGCTCCAAAATTCCTAGGTGCTTGTAGACTAAGTCCGTTGTTGATTCTCACTGCGGAACATAGACCACTGAATGATGCATCACTGTTGGGTCCATCAAGTGAAAATGATATCCTTTTACTGGGATGCTCTGGTCACAGTGTTTTCTATAGAAAAATTCTTGTTTCTGATAAGGCCCTCATGAGGCAAAATGTCTGCATGGTAGAGTTCGGTTGGAGCAGTGAAACAAATTTCTGGGGCAAGAAAGCCACTCAGAATGTCATAAAACTGATAGGATATAATGCTGTTCGTTTAAGTGGCCATTCTGAGACTCATAATAGAATCTTACTGCATTTATTAGTTTGCATTTTGTCTCATCTCCTAGAATTGTGAGCCCCTTGAAGGCAAGGACAATTCATCTTTACATCCTTTGCTGCACTGCCTGGCACAGGGTGGATATTGAATTAGGATAAACTATTGAAGAACTCTTTTAAATCATGAAAAGTACACTGATGAAGCATTATTTTAAGAGGTGGCAAAGCAATGCTTGGCATAGTAGATGCTATAATACTCATTAGCTGAATTACTTTATTTTAGGCAAGTGGCATACACACTTCTCTATGAAAACTAACGAATGACAAATGAAATAGCCTCTGACCTACTTATTGTCTCTAGAACAATGAAAACATATAGTAAGTTTTAAAAAGTATTGTTATTTATTGGAAAGTTACTTGACCAGGTAGTTAATATACTTCATAAACAATCAAAAACACCAGATTTTCAGAGAACTTTCTAGGATGATAGAAATGTTCTCACACGGAACTGCGGTGATGGTTGCACAATTAAAATTTACCAGAAACCCTTGAATTGTTCTCTTACAATGGGTGAATTTTATGGCATGTCAATTATAGTTCAACAAAGCCATTTTTAAAAATGAACACTATTTGGTGTAATCCAGGAGTAACATAACCTCCTCAGTTCCTAAAAAATTGGACATGAGCATTTTCTTTCTAAGCCCAAATCACAAAAAAACAGTGGTAAATGTGGAAAGTTAAAACTGCGGTTCGATCATGTGCCAGATAAAGCTGAAAGAGGTAGAATCTAACTGGGTGAAGTTTGCTCTTCTCCCTATAATCTTCTTCCCAACATCAAGTATAGTCAAGACCGACCTGTGCTCGGCAGAGCCCAGGAACCTTTGCATCAACCCTGGCAGCCTGGCCTCAATCTCTTAGAGTAGAGGTTCTCAAGTATGGTTCCTGCACCAACAGCATGGGCATCGCCTGCGAGCTGGTTAGAAATGCAAGTTCACAGGGCCAACCCTGACTACTGAATCAGAATCCCTGGGGGTGGAGCCCAGGAAACCGTTCTAACAACTCCCCTAAGCAAGTGTAAGTTTAGGAAGCACTTCCATAGATGGTCTCCAAGGAGGCTGCTAGGATCACCATCTCTGTCCGAATCAGGGTCAAGGCCAAAGCCAGGACAAAGAGAGAGGCCCTCCTAAGAAACACAGGGGTCTGCCTTAGCACCCCACCCCCAGGTCCTGCAGCTTTAAGCTCATCAATCCTGTCAAGCTGTCTGAGTTCAGGGAGGCCCCCACTTCCAGAGAGAACCTGAACTAACTCCAAGAAAAGCCAGGTGAGAGGTATGGAAGTCAACCCCTCCCTGATTTCTGTATGCTATTTGATACGGTGGGAACTCAACAAGGTAATTCTTCCCATTTCAAAAATATGCATGACGTTTATTTTTCAAAATGGATACAGAGAACACTGAAAAGAAGAGGTAGGTTCGGAGCGATGTATACTTTCCAGAGCATAAAATGAAACACATTTCTAAAGGAAGCAGAAAAAACCTACATGTCAAAACGGAGTGTCCTTCGCTTTATGCATCGCACGTGTTCCTGAAAAGTTATACACGAATGTCTGTATATCAAGTTGTAATTTAAAACTACCAGAAATACAAATCATATTTTCAAGCCTATCATTTAAAGGTTTATAATGGCAGATTCCTTCATAAGGACAATAAATGTCTTCTAATTGGATTCTTTTGTAATTATGGATTTTTGAATATGGCTCACTTAAACACTCATGAACCACACAAGCCACACTTAGAATCTATGAATTTGGGGGCTTCTCTGCAGCAGAGGACATGAAGGAGGATGAGCCTCAAGACCTCCCCTCTTTGAGAACTAGGATGATGGGGTCACCGCCTCAGAATTTTCACAAAGACACAGGGTATCACTATTCCCTTGTCTCGTGGTTTGAAGCAAAACCAACAGCCACTGTGCCCAGTCACATTCTCTCAGTCCGATGATCCGACTCTGCGTGCATGAAGGGAGGAAATGGTGTGGCTATGACACCGGTTCTATATTTAAAAAAAAAAAAATTAAAGCAGATACTAAGCTCAACTGCAATTTCACCCTCACTCATAGCCCACTGGGAATTATTTAGGGGAAGGGTGCAATGAAGGTAATTATGGATGAATGCCAGGCTAGATTTCAAACGTCTCAGCTTCTGTCAGGAAAAATTCTATTTGAAGAGAACTTAGTGGTGCTAATATTCCTGTGATTGCCATCAACTGTTCTCTACTTGGTATGAGTTGGCTGAGGCGCTTTTAACATGAAGGTGTTGCTAGAGAGACTTCGCCCCATCTCAGATCAGTTGGGTCAGGGGAGGGGAGGTGAATGGTGGGCGCAGGGGAGTGCGGAGAACCCTGTGAACAAAACGACTCTCTGAGCTTTCAGTTCCTTTGATATGTCAACTGTGCTGCCCATTTGCAGGAAACACACATAAAATTTTATTGGAGCAATCTTGCCCCCTTTACTTACATAAGGGAAAATATAAATCAGCCAGAAATAACACCGGCCGGCGAGAGCAGCAAGTGAAGCCAAAATAACACCATGCAGAGTAGCACTTCACTGTGAATATAATTTCACTAACCAGAAGAGCAAGCCCGGTCTGGGTTGATGATCGCAGCCCGGGGAGCTCTGGGGTGGGGTTGGCAGTTAAGGGGAAAGTGGCAGCACCACAGCCATGATGGACAAGGGCCAGGCTGCTGTCCGCACTTCTCTACTCTAAGCCCCAGTTACCCTACCTGCAAAAGGTAGATAAAAATTCTTGACTCATTAGGTGTTGCATAGATAAAAGGGGACCTTGTAATAGGTGAAAGCAGAAAGTACAGAAGATAGAGAGCAGGCCCTTCATTAATCTAAGCTATCGAATCTAGACTTTTATATAGCTCCGCAGCCATCAGGACCAACCCCTGAGACTATCGGCCTCAGGTTCACATCTTAGGATCGTGTTCTTTTAACCTAGTGATTCAATGCCACTTGCTCTCTCCCTCCATTCTGGCCATCATGCGTCCATCTATCCAGTCTCTTTTTAACATCTACTACATTTCGGGCACTGAGCTATGTTCTGGAAATAGGATGGTTAGCAACACAGACATGGGCCCTTCCCATGATGACCTAAAGCAAGAGACAGGAAATTAAATCAATTTTGCAATGTGGTGAGATAAGAGGAATGATTAAGGACAGGGTGTTTGGGGAATGGAGAGCAGAAACACGTAACACTGACCGCTGGGACAAAGAGGGGAGTCAAAGAAGGCTCCCCAGATGAAACGACACTGAAGCTATTCAAGCGGAGAATCTGAAGGGTGGGAAGTTAGCCATCCTTTAAGCAAGCATCATGGGTGTGTAGGTGGGCAGCATGCTCTGGGAGGACGAGAGAGCCTGTGTCCAGTCCCAGTGGTGGGAGAGCTGGGCTCACTGAAATTCAGTACAGCAGGGGTCCAGGGGTCCTGACGTAACATATGGTTCTCCGGCAGAACCGGAGTCACGTCAAGTTCATGTACGGGAGATCTGGGCACCGATGAGACCAGAGCCAGATCTTGTGAGTCAAGCTGAGGAGTTCAGACTCTATGTGAATGGCGGATAAACTGCAACAATTTGGGATTCCTTGATTTCCTTATCTACAAAATAAGGGTGGAGAAGATGGCTGTCAAGGCTCCTTGTACAGACTGATGGAGTCACTTACGTCCTACAGATAGCCAAGACCTGTGGCTGCTTCCCAGTAGGCCTAGAAAGTTCTGCTTCTTCGATGTAACAATTTCACTGTCTTACTCGAGAGGGTCCGCTCTACCTTCAAACTACCTTTAAATACATCTCCATGGTCTTTTTTCCCTTTACATTATTGCACTGGAGTCCCAGAATTACCAGTTACTCAGAGCTGGCTGGGCAAAGCCAGGACCAGCAAGAGGCGAACTCTGGTAGAGGAAAAGTGAATATGAGATAAACCAAAGCCTGACCTTTCATTACGCTTAAACGGAAACCCACCCGGACGGCAATGGTACCTCGGAACCAGGTAAAACCGAAGGATATCTGGAAGCAGCAGAGGGCTGTGTGTTTGTGAGAATCTGGAACAAGATTCTGACTTCGGTTTGCAGAATTCTAAATTAAAAGGTGTCCTGGTGCATTTATTGTGAGCAGATGGTAATCTCTTCAGTATCAGTGTCTACTTCTAAATTACATTTTGGATGTTGGTGGAGAACAGAGAGGAATGTCAAACAAGGCCTATCAGCCTGGCCTCGTCTCCACCTCAGGCAGCCTCTCCGCTGACTCTCTTCCTACTGAAAGAGGCCTCGCGAGGGTACGATTTTCTCATCACTGTATGACACAGGAAACCCCAGCCCCATCATGCTAGTAACTTCAGAAACTTAGAAATCCTAGCTAAAATTAACTTCTTTAAATTGTCAGCACAACTTGATCCTAAATATAAGTTGCTTTGTTTTGTTCTTGTAGAGCTTGAAATGGGGTTGGGAGGTAAGGTGGTGGGGAAAGAAAGATATAAAGAGATATAAAGTTTCTCTCACTAAATTCTCTTTCCTTTCTATTCCCCCAGAGAACTAGGGAGCAGAATGAGGAGAGGAGCCACAGAAGAGAGGGAGGGAGGCAGAGGAGAATGGGGGGACGAGGAGGGAGGATGCTGAAAGGGTGCAGGAGGCAGAAGGAGCGGGAGGGGGAAGCATGTGGGAGAGAGGTGAGTTGCTATGGTGGCGGCCTGGAGCCTTCCACCTCGGTCTTCTTGATACTCTGACCCTGAGGACACAGATCCACCTGGACCTCACGGAGAGCTAGGCCAATGGCGAGACTGAGTTTGAGCGCACACGAGTGACATGCGGGTGGTCTGCTAGCACAAGGCGAAGATTTCGTAGACAATCTCAACTTCACATATTCTACTCTGGAACATCCCCCACTCTTGCGGTTGACAGGGACCCTGTCTCCCACACCCACACTCTTCCAAAAAACCTTCGGGAACATCCAGGGAGAGGCCTGAAGGAACTTGCTGGGGAATCACGTCTGCCATCAGAGACAAGGTACTGAGAGGCAACAGAACATATGGTCCAAGGCAGATTCCTGAGTCACAAGGCTCAGGTTCAAAACCTGGCCTGCCTCCTACAAGATATATGATTTCGGGCATATTACTTAGACACTCTATACCTCTGTTTCCTCAGTTTCCTGGGCTATAAAATGGAGATGACGACAGTACCTGCCTGGGAAGGGTGTTGTGAGGATTAAGTTAACAGGCATAAAAAGCACACGGGACAGTGCTTGGCTCAAAATGTGTGCCATATGGAGTGCCGGTAATTGTTGGTTTGCTAGCTACTAACGGCAAATTCGCAGAATCACACAATTTTAGAGCTCAGCATCTCTGAAACGGGGGTTAACCCCGGGATAAAAGATAAAACCTACTTGTGGAAAGGTGGAATGAACACCTTTGGGTGACTTGGGTGTCTCCTCATACATTATTTAGTGAGTCATATTAATATTTCATTTTACAGACGAGAAGGCAAAGGCCCAGAGAATTTGAGGGGCCTGAATAATTGCTCCAGAAGGAGTGAAGGGAAGGGGTTTGCAGAACAAAACCCAGCTCTGCATGCCCTACTGTTTCTTTGTTTCACTGGGCCAATATGCCAATAAGCCTTTCTACTCCACATTTAGTTTGGCTACTTATTTATTTCAGTGGTTTAATTTTTTGAGATGATCTGGATAATCAGGGGAAGCAGTTTCAATATGAGGTGTTAAAAGTTTAATAGTTATTTAAATGCTTTTGGAACTCATGTATATAGATGGATTTTTTTTTTAGACCATGGATGCAGTGGGAAAAAAATCTAGAGCTAACATCATCTTTTCCTCCATTTTGGGGGGCCGATGAGTCCTGACAAAAGCACAGAATGTGGTTATAAGTGCATTACAGGATCAATCATTGAAGCAGGGAGCCTGTTTTTTATTTGTACCACATGTTCTGAAGGTTCCCTAAACCAGGCAGCAGCATCAGGGGAGGACTGCGGGAGCCCTTGCTGGGAGTTGCTAGGTGTGATTCAGTTCAGGAAGCTGAAGGGATTTCCTCTTTCAAACCCTTCAGTTCCACTTTCTTTCTGTCATTTTGAGCTCTATAGATATTCAATTTGTAGCTGTTGGCATGCAAAAGAAACAGGATAACTCAGAGGTTACAAAATAACTCCTTCAACATTGATCTTGATATAGAATCCTAGCAGAGGACGATCCTTTTAGGTGGTAACTCAGATCATGTCCATCCTTTTCCCAGGATGCTGCGATGGCTCCCAAGTCATGAGGCCCTGTGTGGTCCAGCTTCTGTCTCCTCTCTGAGCACCTCTCCCCCTTGCTCTGTCGGCTCCAACCACAGGGCTCTTCCTGCAGACCCTCGTCCAAGCCAGGCACGTCCTTCCCTTTGGCACTGGCACGGGGGTTCCCTCTGCCAGATCTGCACATAGCTGGTTCTCTCACCTTCTGCAAGTCTTGGCTGAGATCTCATCTTCTCAATAAGAAACTTGTTTAGTTCTACAGGCTGACCTGCAGCCCCCCAACACTCCTTCTCCCCTGGCTCTACTTTTTCTTTTCTCCATAACGTCAATCGGTTTCTAACCCACTATGTGGCTGCTTCTTTATTATGTTCATTGTCTTCTCTTCATTAGAATGTGAGTTCCATGAAGGCAGAAAAAGCCTTGTCTTTTTTGTTCTCAGAAGAATCCCCAGGGCCTGGCCCTCATTAGGACCCAATCAATAGTTGTTGAATGAATGAGAAGCTTGACAAAGTGCTTCTCGGGTGGCAGCCTCAAGGCAGAAACCAATGGCATCATTTGGAGGACCTTTCTCTCTTTCCACAGACTTTCCACGTACTTCTTTCTCGCTATCAGCCCCAAGTGTGGTTCTGTGCCTTCCCCTTGGACTTGGGGCAAGGCCGAAGTGCAAGGCCCTGGCCTAATGTTCTTGTCATAGCTCTTGGGCATAGTTCTGGGGACCCTACCAAGGGCCCCCGTGGGCCCTGAGCTCTTCTCACTCTGCCCGCTCAGGAAAAGGGCGTGGAGCTCTGACTTGTCTGTTGTTTGCATGGGACACTCACAAGTGAGTGACACTCAGCCGCTCTCTGGCTAAGTGGGAGTACTGCCATCATCATGCCCTGTTGGCGTCGGGGGCCCTGGAGTTTCTAAAGCTGGGGGCCCGAGTAGGATTCATCCCGCAGTACAGCTGGAGAGTCTCTGGCAGCCTCGAGATCTGAGTTGTGGGTGCCCGCTCTGGCCTTCCAACTCTCCCACAGCTTGTTAGCACCTCCACCACAGGTAGGTGGGGGTGAGATGCAAGTCACTGCTAGTATTGCTTATCTGGAGCTCCCGTGAAAGAGATGGTGAAACGCAGAGCAGAAAAGTATTTTTGGATTTCATTTATCTCTCTTATCTCTAACTCCATTTCTGAAAATAAACAAGATGGCTACAAAATAGGCCTCGCAAAGGAAGATAAAAGGAATCGTGTATTTCATTAAAAAGAGAGAAGACTTTTGTGTCTTGCCCACCAGCTCTTGCTATGTTCATGATCTCATCTCCAACGACCTAAGGTTTTCATAATAGCCCGTAATTACTTAATCATTCCAGCTCCGCCGTTTGTTCTCAACTTTAAGTGCCAGATAAACAAGTTGTTTATTAAAGAGGTAGCCTAAATCCATGGTAAAAACCCAAACCATTTGAGAATATCTTAAAATGTGGGCTGCTGGTGAGCCTTGTCCCCTTACCAATATTGCAGACCACTTTCGATCAGTATGGAAACTATTTCTGCTATGGCCGGGGATGCACGGGATGGTTAAACCATGTGTTTCAAGCAGGAGAGGAACAGCTGAGCTGCGGGCCCACTCAGGGCTGGAGTGGGCCAGGATGGAGAGCAAGCAAGAGCTAGATAAAACTTAGTGTGAAAAGAGTTAAGAAACCCAGGGTAATGTCAGCTGGTACTTGAAAAGAGCGCACATCTACAGGGATGTGGAGAGCTTTGCCTTGTGAGAGCATATAGGAGAACTCAGCGAAGGCGGTGGCCAGGCAGGGGTGGGCGACCCAGCAGGGCTGTGGCTGTGAGGGTAACCTGACCCTCCCCTGTACGCCACGGAAAGGTCTAAAATCAAAGCAAGACAATAATATTGGGAACCACCCCTCTCGCCTTTCACTAACAGAAAATTTTAACATAGGGAGAAAATTAGGAGAAGGAATAGATTTTAAACCCCGCACCGCATCTTAAAGTTGGAATGTGGCTCTTAAGATTTCGGCTAAATAGAATTATAGCTGAAAACTAAAGAAAATTACAAAATGAAAAAAAAAAGATGCTAGATATAAAATAAAAATCAGAAAACAAACAAACAAAAAAGACAAAAAAAAAAAAGAGGAAGAAATTGGCCTCTGATTTTAAAAAAATGAACAGACAGAAAAACCTCATTTCAATCCCCGTAGTACATACCTTGTAGCGAGGCCTGTAAGTCTTTCATATTTTGGTCTAAAAGCTGTGACGGAAGGAACCGTGAGCCTGTCTGGGGCTTAGGGTCTGGCTCTCCTGGGGCCACAGTGGGCGCGGGCTCCTTCAGCTGATCGTCTCCAAACACAGCAGCCCACTCTTTGCTGAACTCACCCTCCTCCAGGGAGGAAGCGTTGAAGATCTCACTCAACAACAGCAGGTCATCTTTGTCAGCACCTTCGGGTTCTGGAGTCCCTGTTGTTGGGCCCAGGCAAGCTGATCAAAGTGAGAGAACACAAAACATATCATCATCAAGGACCCGGATCCTCGGGAATAAAGGCAGTGGGGGCTGAGATGGGACAGACTGGGCAATGACTAGATTGAAGAAAAAGTTTATCAAAAAACAAACTAATCCCACTATCGCTTCTTTTAAGAAGTTTCAGAATGAAATTTCTAGTTCCATCTTCCCTCATCCAGTTTCTGAGCATCATTAGAATTGCACTGAAATAGTCTTCACAAATAGTCTAAGGTTTTTTGTTTGTTTGTTTGTTTGTTTTTAAATATAAAAGCAAATTTATCGCCACACCATTTCTCAGCTAGGAAACAAAGATGGGATTGAAAGCATGTGGGAGACCTTAGTTCCTTGTTTGTACAGCTTCTTGAATCTTCCCCCACAACAAGCCCTAAATCCATAGCCAGCACAGCCTGCCCTGCCAGCGAGGATGCGGGGAGGCCCCTCACCGTGCCCTAACTGGCCCAGGGAACGAGAGGGGGCAGAGGATGTCAGGAAGCTCGATGATGAGCAAGAAAGGCATCCTTGCTTCCTTTTTTCCTTTGCTGCAACCTGACTGCATAAAGGAAAGAAAAGGCAGGTCTGCTTTCCCTGAGGGTAGCAGTGAAAGGATGACAGGAAGAGAGGGCAAATTATGGAATCACCCAGAGGATGAGCTGCTGGGCCAGAGACACAGCTCCAGCGTTGGAACGGGCACTGGATTAGAGCGGGAGCCCCTGGACCACCCTTTACTTGCTGTGTGACTTCAGCAAGACCTTTAACCCCTCTGGGCCTCTGTTTTTTCATTTATAAAATTATAATATTAATGCCTGTTGGGAAGACCAAAAAAACAAAAATAAAAAACAAACAAACAAACAAAAAAACCCCTTACACCTCACTGGTCCAGAAGGAAGACTTCAAGGAAAAGATCTACTCTTACAACATAAACACTGACAAAACACTGAATAGTGAATACTAGTA